AGGCCAAATAGGGCTACATAGTAAGACCCTGTCTCAAAAAAACAAAGAAAGAAAACCCACCCCAAATCTCATTGGAATTTAAATTGAGTGAAAGTGACTGTCTTTCTTAGCATAGAGCTATTTGCATTTTTTTTTGTATTTTCTTTTTTAAAAAAGTATTTTTATTTTATGTGTATGAGTGTTATGCCTGCATGTGTGTAAGTGCACCTGACTCATGCAGTTGCCCATGGAGGCAGAAGAGGCTGTCGGATCCCCCGGAACTGGAGTTATGGACAACTGTTAGCTGCCATGTGGGTGCTGGGATTCAAACCCCGGTCTTCTGCAAGAATAGTCAGTGTTCTTAACCGCTTAGCCATCCCTCCAGCCCATCCTTAAGTAACATTTAAAAGTTACTTTGTTACATCAATGAGAAAAGTAACTAAAACAGCAAGGGTTCCCTGTAGGAGACTCTAAGGATCCTGGGGGTAAGTTGGCAAAGGTATGACTCCACACCAAGTTGGCCTTCCGCACTCTGGCTCCTGGAAGTCTGGCACATGTGGAGTGGGCACACCACGGGCCTTCCTAGCACAGTGGTATGGGCCCCCACATGTCCCTAAGGAGCCTACAGCCAGGGGCCATTACAGCAGGGTCTCTAATCTGGGACAAGCCCACCCCCAACCAACACAGCCCATGCCCTGTACCACCGTCAAGACAACAGTCCCAGACTGAAGCTAGGATGCTCCCAGGGCAGGCTCTGCACCTTGTCAGACCCCAGCTCACCACTTCCAGGCCCAGGACAGTCCCTCGAAGAGAGCCATATCGCAGAAACCGGAGGCCACCAGCGTTGGTTGACACGTTACCCCCAATATGACAGCTTCCCTTTGCTCCTAAGTCCAATGGCATAATGAAGTCCTGTTCCTGTACATAGCGGCTCAGTTCCTCCAGCACACAGCCCGCCTGGCAGACCAGGATTCCTACAGAGAACAACCCGACTGCCAACAGCTTCTGGCTTCTATAGGCATGAGACCTGTCACTGCTGGGACTCCCCTAACCTCCCCCCTCCCCGCACAATGTAAAGGAACACTCACCTCAGAGGCAAGAAAGAGGCACCCCACATACATATACAAACATGCACATCAGGCAGAACAGAAACACTTGGTCCTTTGTAATTACCATATAAAAGTAGAAAAATTAGAAAGGCAAAAATGGAGAAACACAGCTACATGTATGCTAATGGAAGTGAGTGGAGAGGACTGCTACGAAGCAGTGCTCTCAGCTGCAGAAGTGCTCTCCTCCCTAGTAGAGTGAAGGTTTGCATGCTTTTTGGTGGGGAGGGCTAAACACCTTGCTGCAGATAGCAGATAGCAGTCCCCATACAGAGCAAGCCAGCCTGAGTGCAGAAGAAGGCTGCCCCGGAGACTAAACTCATCATGGGCAACAGGAAGCCCTTCACAAGTGCCACTGCAAGGCCATACATGGCCAGGAAGGACTTCCATGGTGAAGTCAGAGTGCAAAGGGACTAGTGTGACACGTCCACACAGTATGAGTCACCCAGTGACCTAGAACACACAGGAGAAGGCTGGGCATGGCATACCAGATGACCATGCTGCAGCCACAGTTCTGTCCCAGCTAAGACCTCATACATATGAGTACATACACATTCGTACACACACTTGCTGGCCTGAGCACAGTCCCAGTAACTAATAAGGAAGGACAGCCTCACCTGGCCCCAGGAAGCACACAGGCAACACAGGCTTACCAGACACATTGTGGAAGCTGATGACTTTGTTCATCAGAGCAGTGGAAAGAATGATCTCATCAAAGACAGGAACACTGCCCCCCACCAGGCCAGTGTTCCCTCCCTGTGGGTTCACAGCCAGGTTCCTCTCATGACAATGTCTAGAACAAGCATTTGGAGGACCATCAAGTCAGCATCCCTACTTCCACACAACCATCCCCAAGGGACATGCTATGAAGCTGAACCCCCAAACTTGACCCTCTTTCTAGGCTTTCCTGCCACAGCCCTGGCAGCGGCTCTTCCCCACCATCCTGTGAGGGATTAAAAGGGATAGCCCACCCGAAAGCTGTGCACAGGGGGACAAAGGCTGATACTGTGTCCAGGGCATGGGGTGGGGGTTAATATGCAGCCTGATTCTTACACCTTCAGATCCCTTTCTTCATAGTGGCCACTGGGCTATGCCTCAGAATAATTGATGAAGCATCTTGCAGTCAGGACTCTTGAGGGTAGGGATCTAGAAAAATGGATGCCTTTGCCCATGAGCACCCAATGACCTACAGGAATCTTTTATGGGTGGGTGTGAATGTGGCCCACAGGAGCCTGACTGGGATGTTCTAAAGCAGTGTTTGAATGTAGACATCTCCTCTTACCTAAGAATGTGAGACACCTCTTCTGAGGTCTGGGGCCTCAGCAACACCTTACTACAGCCTGTGACAGAGAACCATCATGTCAGTCCACGTGAAAGGAAGCAGTTCAATTACAGCCTACCTTCCCACCCTCCCTACCCCCCCACCCCAGTTTATCCAACACAATGTCTTCTACAACATCTGTACTTCCTCAGTGAGGTGACTAGTACAGTCACAGCCACCAGGTCCACAAAAACCCAAGAACAAAAGCAAGAGGTCAGAAGGTCCTGGGCTATGCTAGGGACTATGCAACAGTTAGGTCAATGTGCAACAATTGGTGGAAACAATGGCCCCTTCCCACTTACTCCTATGGGAAGATGGCTTCAGCCCCACTGTACAGGGAGGTCTGCTGGGCTTCTTCCCTACAGGCATGGTTTCCTTTAAGACTTGAAAAATATCCTGGTACTCATCAAACCACCTGCTGGTTTTAGCAGACTCTTCTTCCTTAACCAATCAGAACAATGGCTGCTAAATGGTGACATCTAGATCCATCCATCTGCCTATGTCTCAGCTTCCAATGAAAGAATAGACCCTCTCCTTGGCTCCTGAGAGCCATGTCTGTAGCTCTCTACTCACACCAGGATTGGCTATGACTTCCTCACTCACTCTTGGCTGCCCTTGTCTATCTGATACCCAGTGGCAGGTAGGAGCCCCTCTAAGCTGGGGAAAGCCACCCAGAGTGGTTAAACTTCTTTCTGCCTTCCAACTTCCCTGAGAACCCCAAGGTGATAGGGCTGTAGGAACATTCCAGAGCAGCTCTGTACATCTCCTAGGCTCTGCACATCAGCTATCTTAACTTTATGATTCTAAAAGGCATAATGTTTCTCATCAAAGAAGCTGAGTGGGCTGTCTGTCCTATCTCAGGGATCCTAGTCACCAGCAGAGTTTCTGCTGGCTGTGTTCTAGGTGCTCTGCCATCCTGAGTGAGCACAGAGCTGTAAGCACTGCTCGCCAAGGCTTGCAAAAAACCAAGTCTGTAGCAGGTTTCCCAATAGACATTTAAGTGCTCAGCAGAAGGCCTGCTACTGGCAGGCAGAGTAACATCAGAAGGATTTCACACTTGAGAGATACATGTAGACCCTCTGACTGTAAATCAATAAGAGGTCAGTTGCTAACTTGAATTCCAGAGAACAGGAAACAAGAGGCAAAACAATCCAAGACAGTTCAGGGAAATGCCCAAACTGAGGGGAGTGTAGCTGGAAAGGCCCCAGCCCGGGCCAGGGAAAAGTCAGACCAAATACTTGTAGGCAGAAAGGCTGCCCAACAAGGTCAGGGCACCTCCTCAGAACCTCCCCCCTACACCATGCCTTCAAGAAGTCCCAGCAGGTACTCCCTCTCATCCTGGCCCCTTTGCAGTTGGTGACAACATAAAAGGACCATCCCCTCACACTTCCAAGAATTTTAGTCCACCAACCTGTCTTCCTCTGCCCCAGGACCTTGCCACTGGCCCCTCTGGAGCAATGTGACCTGCTCCTGAGCCTCCCATTTTCTTCCTATACTTTGGACTTTGCTTCCTGCAGTCCTTGCAGTATGCTGGCTCCTCTCACACCTGCCAGGCACCCTGCCTGGTCTTGGGGTGTGTGTGTCCCCTTTGCCCCAGTCTCTCCAGGTGCCTCTACCTGGGAGGCTACCATAGGACCATCCCACCACTTACCCATCTCAAACCAGGCTGCCATCTCTACCCCTGTCATTTCCTAGCTCACCTCCTGGTGAACTCCTTGGGATTTCAGTATCTACCCATATCAGAGACAAATTTGGCTTGCTGCCTGTTTTGTGAATTGTTTCATGGAAATACAATCATGTCCACTGTCTATGCTTGTCTGTGGCAGCCAGTACCCCTGCATACCCCTGTCCACCTTGCTTCCACACTACCAGCAATGTCTTCCTCCAGTTACTGCAGGCAATTTGCTGCCCAGGGCTCCTCACCCGTGTTGCTGACCTACGCACAGTATGCTACACTTGCTCTCTGCTGCCTTTCCTTTCTTCCTTTTCTATCCATCATCTCCCATGATCTCCATCAACTCTGCAAACCTGATGTTACACTCTCATCTTAAAACAGAAAAATGAAAACCCCTTCTAGCCTGGACTCCTGAAAAACGCCCCCACTTCCCAACTCAACACACAATGATAGTGTACTCACTCTCCAGGAGACTCCCAAGAGAACCTTCCTCATCACACTCTCAAACCCAGAGTCAGCTCCAGCTGTCTGTCTGTCTTCTTCCAAGGTCACTGATGGTGCCCACAGTTCTCAGTCAAGTTCACTAATGGCATCTATGGTTCTCAATCACCTTACCTGATACAGCAGTCACATATGGCAATCTGTGTCCCTTCCTTCCCCCAAGTCTTTCTCCACTGATTCTGGAATATACTCCTGTGGCTCCCCTGCTGCTCTTTGGCCTTGCCTGTCCAGTATCATTGATTGGCTCCTCCTCTCTAAAGACAGTCATCCAGCACGGCCCCTGCTCTGGACTCCCCTGCTCTGCTCATGGCCCCTGTCTCTTGGCCTTGCTGCCTTCATCTATTTCCATATGTTCACACTCAGACTCTTGGCTTTCCCCAACAGACCTGCTCTTTAATGCTCCTCTCAACCTAGTAAACAGAGATCCAGAGTTTCCACTGTCAGCACAGCCATGCTATTGTCCCTCTTTATTTCATGGACAGACCCAAAGATCACTCCTTCCAATCCCTCTAAAACCTGTGATGCCTCAGTTTTGTTAGGCCTTCCCAGCAACAGCATGTTCATGCAGTATTGAGCCAGGATAAGTCTGGGACTAGGGTATTCCCATGTTGTGTCAAATGCATTATTTTCTGTATACTGTCAACTGCTTCTTTTTACTATTACAGCAAGAACATCATGTTGGATTTTTAAATTGGGTAAAATCTTGTCAGGACAGAATGAAATGTGGCTAGCAAAAAGAGGTGCCAAGCCTGGGTTGCTGAGAAGGATCTCAGCTGTGTGGAACAGCTGCAGGAGGAGGCAGGTGACAGTGAAAGCACCAGTAAGGCACCTCTCTCTGAAGACCCTGGGACCTGTGAGAATGGCCTGATATAGAAAAAGGGTCTTTCCAGAGGTAATTAAGACCTCCAGTTGAGGGCTGGAGAGATAGCTGCTCTTGCAGAGGACTTGGGAGTTTGGTTCCTAGAACTCATTTAGGAGGACTCACAATTGCCTGTAATACAGCTCCAGGGGATCCAAGATCCTCTTCTGGGCTCTGCAGGCACTCATGTGACAAACCCACACTCACACATATACACACATAATTAAAAATAAAATATATTTTTAAAAAGACCTCAAGATGAGATCATCCTTAATGAAATGGGCCTCAAATCCAATGACAAGAGTTTCTATAAGACAGAAGAGGAAGGGCTGGAGAGATGGCTCAGCGGGTAAGTGCACTGTCTGCTTTTGCAGAGGACCCAGGTTTGATTCCCAGCACCCACACAGCAGCTAACAACCATTTGTAACTCCAGTTCCAGGGAATCCGCCGCCCTCTTCTGACCTCCAAGGGCACTGCACCACACGGGTACACACAGGCAGGCATTACACACATACACGTAAAAATATATAAATTTTAAAAATACTTTTTTAAAAAGGCAGAAGAGGAGAAAGGAAAGAATGTGCACAAAGATAAATGTAGAAGTGGGACAGGTGCTAACACCTCAGGCTGCCAGAAGCTGGGTGTGGCAGGAAGGACTCTCCCCTGGAGGCTGCAGGGACAACCTGGGTTTCAGGCTCTGAGCCTCCAGAATTGAGAGTAAACTGGTGCTGCCTCAAGACCCTACTGGGGTCTCTGGTGACTCCTGCTCCAGGAACAGCTGAGCAGATAGATGCACAGGCGGCATTTACACACTCAGTGCAGCCAGGGACTGCTTCACTTTTTAACCTGCAGAATTTATTCTCAGAAGACCTTAGTCAACAAACATTCCCCTCTTCACTTGTGTCTTTGGGCTTCTGCAATTCATCTCTTTCCCCGCTGCCCAAGACTGACTCACCCCGGACAGACCTCAGCCAGTCCACGTTGCATGCCTCCACTTGGTCTGGGTCTGTGATGACTCTGCCAGGTATGATGCTTTCAAAGGCAGCCAGATCCTTCTCAGACACCGTGGAGAATGGCAGGCGCTGCACAGGGTATCTTTTGCAGGTCAGCATCACCTCGGGGCTGCCGGAGGCTGAGGAGTACCCTCTGCAAACCAAGGGGCTGTACATGCCCCAACGGTCAGGCAGCCACCTCGACCCCATAGAGGGTCCCAGAACACAAGTCCTCCTCCACCCTGGAGGTGCCCGGAAGAGCCTCGCAGACCACCTGGGCATCTGATGGAGCACCATTGCTCCTGCCCTGAAAAATAAAGAGATTGAACCTGCAATTCATGAGCACTAAAATAATGAGAAAGCCCCTTAACTGCCTATGCACCATGTCCGGTGCCATCAACACAAGACCTGGAGGAGCGAGGTGGCTTGGCACTGTGAAGGGGCTACCACACAGGACAAGGCTGCTGGACACAGTGGGCGCTGCACTAGAAGGGTTCCGTTCTGGATCTCGATGTGTCATTCTGCAGGATTACAGTCCTGAGAATTCACTGCGTGTCCACTTACGAATGACGCATTCTCTCCCAGGCATTTAGTTTAACATTTACAAAGAGACCTGCTTTAAAGGCCCTCCTTACGAACAGAATTGGTTTTAAGGCACGAAAAGGGAAGCTGGCACTTAACCGTGCACCTAAACACCTCAGAAAGTTGAATCTCGTGTTGTACGTATACTTAAGCCACACGCTTTAAAACGCTTGGGAAATCAACATTTTTTTAAAGGCGGGATGGGACGGTGGCCTGCGACAACGTACGGTAACCCAGGTCAGACCAGGCCACGGAGGAACTCCAGGTTTCCCAATGCAGCCGCTTCCGCCTCACCGGGGCAGACAAACGCACACTCCGGGGGCGGCGCGCACCAGGCGCATGCGCCGCAAGCTGTGACCTGGGGAGGACCCAGTCCTCGCACTCCCGGGCCGACGCGGCCAGTACACGCCGGGCGGAAAGGCGCCAGTGAGACCCGCGGCCCGGACGCACGCCAGCACCACGGCGGCCCCCGCAGCTCTCGGACACAGTGCGCACTCGCCCGGTGCAATCACGTGATGATCCGCAAGCCCCGACGCCCAGGACCACGGACACCCGCGCCCTTCACCCTGAAGCTCGACCGGCCGGGCGCCCACCGCGGCGTCTGTGTACACGCACCGCGTCAGCACCCGAATCCCCGCCGCGGCTCCGACGCAGGCCCCGAGCGACCGAACCAGAAGGGCGGGGTGAGCCAATTGCGCATGTGTACGGGCTCCCGGCTAGCCCGCCCTTCTCCGCCCCGCCCCTACCCTACCCTCGTTCTCCCGCCCCACTGGTTCCCGGCCCCGCCCGGCTCCCTGCCCTGCCACTGTCCCACCCCCGTTCCCCTGACCCACCTAAGCGCCCCAGGGGGTCCCAGGGTAGCTACTGCCCTTCTTTGCCCACAATCCGACTCCGCCCAGCAGATGTCCCAGCACTCCATATCCCGAACCCTTTCCTCATCTGGCCTTACCGTGATCCACCCGACTAGCCCCAAAAGGTAAGTGCCCATTCCTTAGTCACTCTGTGGCCCTTCCCCCAGGGGCCACTGCCCCCCCTAACCCTAACCCCCTACTTCTTTTTCTTTCTCTCCCAGTGGTTTCTCTTTTCCCCGGGTGCCATTGCCCCCTCCCCAGGCCCTTTTCTCCACAGGGGACTTCTACACCCACCATTCTTCCTCCAGAGGCCTCTGTCTTACCCCTGAGGCCTCTGTCTTTCCCCTGGGGTCACTAGTCCAGCGGCAGACATCACTGCTTATAGTGAAACCTTCAGCCTAAGTAGAACACTTATTTCAAAGGTCCAGGGCTGGGACTTACCTGTGCGTACCTCAGAGGCCAGTCCAGCCCTACTAAGCATAGCACCCCTGACTTGTGGGGCCAGCCTCAAGGGCGTGCTCCTCAGGCAGCCCCATCCTAGCTCCGCAGCATCTTATGGCGGCAGCTCCAAGGCACAGAGATCAGCCCAGCAGCTGCTTCCTGGGCCAAGTCCAGATCATGCTGTCTTCCTCCGTTGGTATCCCCAGCCCTAGGAAACAAGTACTTGCTGCTTCTTGCAAACATTCCTTTGCTTCAGCATCCCACTTTCCAGCCTTCCACACTTTAAATGAAGTTTTTCAAATAACTCCAGTGGTTTCTAGTTTGCTGCCCCACAGTACCTGGCATCCCAAGTGGGGTTCATCTCTGTTTTTCCTGAGGCAGCTCCAGAAGCTGTTATTTCCAGCTTGTCCACTTCCATTTGTCATTCTGTGAGATACTAAGACAATTTAGATCTCTGAACCAGATTAGGGAGAGCAGGAGGGTCCCCTGAGGCTGCATCAAGACTAGAGGTATAGGGTTGCTTTGCCAAGTAAAAGCCAGGCATCCCAGTAAGGTTTGCAAACTAGATAAAACAACACAGTGTTTAGGGGTCAACAGCACATGTCCTGTGACAGAAGGGTTACATGTAGCTGTATCTGTGCCTTCAGTAGACCACTTCCCTAGGGTCTGCCCACCTGCCCAGATTTATCAGATGGGGCACTGGTACGTGGCCAGTATATCACCTTGGCATCTTCTAGGTGCAGAACATACATTGCCTTGGATTCCTATCCTGGTTAGGCCCTTCCTACTAAACTGGCTCTTGTGCCACAGGCAACTGTGGGCATTGGCAGTTGTCAAGAAAGTTACAGATTCAGGGGCTGGAGAGATGGCTCAGCGGTTAAGAACACTGGTTGTTCTTGCCAGTCCCAGGGTATCTGACAGCCTCTTCTGACCTCCGTGGGCATTGCATGACACGGGTGCACTTACATACATGCATACACATAAAATAAAAAAAAATAAGTAAATAAAAAAATTTTTTTTAAGTTAAAAAAAAAAGTTACAGATTCAGGAACTAGAAAGATGTCCAGTGTGTGTGGCCCTCTTACACAGATACTCCTGGTACCCAATCACCATAGCCCTCACAAATTAGTAAGCCAGTGACATCTTGGACCACTGAAATTAATGACAGTTCAGAGCCTGTCAAAATCAGCAGCCATCATCTACCCACCACCCAAAGAAGAGGGCTTACCTTTAACCCTAGCAGTCACTCTGGCAAGCAGCTGCTGGTACATTATATAGAATGCATAGTCAACACAGCATGCTGTCAAAGGGCCACAGGGCCCTTCTTCAGGAGCCTCAGCCTCCTCCAGCTAGGACTCTGATCTAAGTGATCTCTCATATGGGTGAGAGGCTGTGCCTTGTGCTGCCCAGTGTCAGTAAACCCAACACTGTTCAAGGAAATGTCTATGACAACTCAACTCATTACATTTATGCCCACTTTTTTTTTTTTTTTTTTGGTCGTTTTGAGACAGCCCTAGCTGTCCTGGAACTCAATTATGTAGACCAGACCAGTCTTGAACTCACAGAGATCCGCCTGCCTCTGCCTCCCGAGTGCTGGGATTAAAGGCGTATGCCACCACGCCTGGCACCCACATTCTTATGTGGAAGCCCTAACCCCCAATGTGACTGTTTTAGGGGCAGAGGCTACATGGAGGTAATTAAGGGTAAATGAGTATTTATGGTTGGAACCTTGATCCTACAGGACCAGTGCCCCTATAAAGAGACATCAGGGTCTGGGAATGTAGCTCAGTTGGAAGAATGTTGGCCTGGATTCAATACTCAGTACTACATAAACCAGGCATTGGTGGAGCACTCCTGTAATCCCAGCACTAGAGAGATGGAGGCAGGAGGATCAAAAGTTCAAGGTCATCCTTAGCTACATAGTAGTTTCAGACCAGCTTGGGATGTAAGAACCTGAATTCACCCCCAGGACCCACATGGTAGGAGAAAATCAACTTTCCACAAGTTGTCCTCTGACCTCCACATGCCCACCATGGCACATGTCCATGTACTCACACACACATACTCATACATACAATGTAATTTTTTTTTAATTAAGAGACATCCGAGAGCTTCCTCCCTACCTAGTCCTACAACCCCCCTTGACATGTGAATGCACAGTGAGAAGGCCTGCAACCCAACAAACAGCAAAGCCTTCAGCAGACATAAGCCTTGCTGGCACCTTGACCTTAACTGCCAATCACCAGAACTACAGGAAATAAAATTTTGTTAGGAATCCAGTCTTGAGGGGTTTTGTAGAAACTGTCCCATCAGACTAGGAAAAGTCTCAAAAGAATCCTGACCTTTTTCTTTGGTCTTTTTGAGACAGGATCTCCCTGTAGCGCCACCTGGCCTGGAACTCACTATGTAGACCAGGCTGGCCATGATCCACCTGCCTCTGCCTCCTGAGTGCTGGGATTAAAGATGTGGACCACCACCCCCCAGCCCCTGACCCTCTTAAGAGTCCTTCAGGGCAAGGCTCCTGATTCAGGAAAGGCCTATTACTGCCTTTTTTCCACTTTGCTGGGGATGGACCAGTACCGTGCACATGAGGCATGTGTTCTACCTCGGAGACGAATCCTCAGCCTTATAGTACTACTTTATAAAGCAGTACACAGCCCTCGCATTCATGCACACAGCTTCCTTGGAAACCTGGAGACCCAGCACTGGCCACTAACTTCCCTGAGCACCCAACCAAAGCAAAGTTTAGGGTCCTAGATCATGAAGTCCCCCAGTATCAGCACTCTGTGTAAACAGAAATGAGACACATTCACCTCTAACAACATGGGGATGCTACATACCTGTTTCTAAAACGACTTACTTCCAAATGTTTCTTCCAAAAAATACTTTATTAAACAATATATCCATAATCTATAACATGGTCCAAAAATACAGATATACATCTTTACATTATTTAATAAAAAGATTTACAATAGTATCTTTCATTTACAAAGGGGACATAGATAATAATTCCTTGAAAATAAAATGTGACATTCATGTTAAAGCTGCATCATCCTACTGGATGGAATGTGGTCAAGACACCACAGCACATTCCAAGGAGAAAGACACTTCACAGTCGTGCCTCAGTGAGAACACTGTTCTTAGACCTCCCCTGCTTTAAAGTTCCTCTTGGCATAAGCAATGAAGATCACTGTTCACTGAAAACCTAAGAAAACTCAGGTCTTCAATGTCTGAAATAAATATCCTTCACTGTTGGATTTCAAACCATGAAGACCTAACCTCCCAGCTTCATAACAGGGCAGACCTTAGTCACATGCTCTCTGGACAGCATTACTGCTTGAAGCATCCCTACCAAGGCCTTCTAGGAACAGGTTAGGGCTGAGGGCAAGGAGTTTGCACAGGGGCAAGCAGCCAGCCGTGTCCTCAAGCCAGCCACAAGCCCTGCCCCCATCACATGGCTCTTCATTGCAGAACAGAAGACACAGCCAGTGGCCTGACTCCTACTGACCTCACCTACAGGACGGATGGACAGTCAGCACTCCTCAGACCATCACACCACTACCATGTTCACAGATCTGGGGGACTCTGTTTAACAAACCTTTTTATTTAATTCATCATGCTTCTTCTGTAAGAAAATTGGAGAAATTCTTCAAACTATTGATGTTTAGGGAAAACAAAAATGATTCCTCTTAGCAAAACACTAATGTACTTACCAGAAGGGGAATTATACAAGGAGAACCCACCCATGGCTCAGGCAAAACAGCTACCACAGGCCTGTGGGGGTCCCACAGCCCCACCCATTCTGTCCAAGAAACAAGGATGGCTTGTGGGGTAGGCCTTGCTGGGCAGGCACAAAAGAGGGTCTGGTCCAAGAATGGAGACAGCCAGGCCTGGAACAATGCTCACTGGCACAGCACCACAGTGCCTGCATTTCTACAGCACCCAAGCCAGAGCTGGTGGTATGATACTCTTTCTCTGGGTGTCCTCCCTGCTCACAGATAGTGATGATGGGGATAAACATTTCATCAGAGTCCAAACAATACCCAAGGGATTTTCCTATTCTGCTCATATTTTCTGTTTTGTTGTTTTGGTGCCAGGGATCAAACCTAGAGTGCATCATGCTTGCTAAGCAAATACCACACCACTGAGCTAAATCCTCAAACTCAAATTTTCTGTTTTTTCCAAAGTTTAAATGCATCTTATTTTGGTGATATTACTGTAACTGGCAAAAGTAAACACTGAAAAACAGGTAAGTATAGAAAGTTAAAAATAAATAAAAGTCAGTGTGCAGGGACAAGATGGCCCCAAGAGGCAGAAGTCAGAGAAGTCAAAAGCTAGCAGGACCACAGCAAGCCAGACGATGGATCAAGCCAGATGACGGGTTTTAACCTCTAACACCTCCACTAACAAATACTAATCCTACCCAGTGTGAAAGGACTCAGTTGCCCCAGGATGAATCTCAGGTATTAAATCCGCTTCTAAGGCATTATCAGGCAAGATCTGATAACAAACTTACTATGCTTACAGAAATTGTAAAAGAGGCCCAGCATGATGGCACTCTGCTGTAATTCCAGCCCTCTGAAATTAAGGCAGAATGATTGCCAGGGCTACATAATGAAACCCTGATGAAAAAAGAAAAAAATTAAAAAGCATACATGAGGGAGGCCATGGGTCTGATCCCTAGCACGAGAGAGAGGAGAGAGAGAGAGAGAGAGAGAGAGAGAGAGAGAGAGAGAGAGAGAGAGAGAGAGAGAGAGAGAAGAGCGAGCGAGCACGCTAGCTGAGAAATATGGTAGCATGCTTGTCTAGCATGCACAAAGTCCTGGGTTCACGCCCCAGTACCGCAAAACCAGACCTGGCACACACCTGTAATCTCTAATCTCAGCATTTGAGAAGTGGAGATGGAAGAATCAAAAGTTCAAAGTCATCCTTCACTACATGAGTTCAAGGCCAGCCTAAGAGACATGATACCGTCTTAAAAATAAAAGAAAAAATTCCCATAACTTGATTCTCACAATCTTTAGGTAGAACAAAAGACTGTTATGAAATAAAAATGCATTACCTAATCTGAGCCTGAGGGGGTCCCCAAGAAGTGCCAGCCTTTTGAGCCCTTAGGCCACAGGAGCCAGCATTTCCAACACTCTTCTGGAGACACTTTTCTGGAGAAAAGCTGGAAGAGTTGCCAGCAGTCACTATCACCTGACTAGCATCTGCTGCCCAGGAAGGGTCAGCACAAGCCAGCTCACTCGGTGGCACCAACACAATCCACTCCCCTCCCTCCTTCCCCTGCTGGGACAGGCTAGGCAGGAACTGCTAGAACTGCTGAGAATCCAATGGCACCCCGACCTCGCGCATCCCTAAATGTCTTTGTTCTCATCTAAGAACATGAGCTGATGTGTGGGGAATGGCACAATGTGGGACAGACACAAGGTCTCACAACTCCCTCCTGCTTTATTTTTCCTCCTCAGTATAAAGCGGGAGGGAAAAACTATAGATTTAGATATGGTCATTATAAGAAAATAATGTGCCTGCCCTCCTCATGAAGAAATTCAACTCTCCTCAAATTGGGAATTGTATAACTCAGCTCTGTCTTGTGGATCTTTTTCTGGGGTGAAGCCAGGAACAAGCTCCCTTGGTTCTTGGATAGTCTGAGACACTGTAGAACATGCCAGAGGAATTCTAAGACAAAGAAGGCTCTCAGGAATCTGTCACACTTAAGGAACCACCACAAATTAATCTCTCAACAGGCCCAATGTGTATGTTTCCCCACAATTATTTCCAAAAGACAGTTAAACACTGGTTTGGTGGACACTGATTAAACAAAGAATACACTCTACTTTCCTACCTTCATTCCAGAACTGTTATTGGACACACAAATTCACAAATCATGTCACATAATTGTAGTCCCCTTGGATGTAAGATGCTGGTCTAGTGGTATGCAACATAACAGAGTTCTAAAATCAGCTCACAGTAGACGAACTCACTTCATAGACACACAGACCCACGACTTTCATGCTATTACAATAATTTCATCTTCACAGTAAAAAAGTCAGGAATTCCCAGAGAAATGAAACCTCTGCCTGGCTACTGGGCCGCTGCTTGGCAGTGCTGGTCATAGTAACTGACAGTCCAAGGCTAACAACAGAAGGCAAATCCCCAGGAAGGACTGGACGTTCACACTGAAAAGGCAGTACACAGTGAAGTAGAGGGCACTTCCTCCTGGGAAGAACCCCCAGCCCCTTCCAGACATGTCAGAGGTATCCTGGCCAAGAGTCCATGGTTTCCAGTCACAGCGCAATGTGGGGCAATGCCTGACAACACTGTGCTCATAGAGCAACAGTTGTGCTTCCATGGTGCCATGAGAGTCTTGGAAAACTTCTGATGGATGCTTGAGACTGACCCTCTGGTCACATAGTGGTGGCAGTGTACCAGGTTAAAAATGTGTCCACCCCGCACCATGCACTTTGCCAGCAACCCAAGGTGACACTCACCCCAGGAGGTCCGGGTGCTGCTGTTCCCAGTGATGGGGGGGGATCTGCACATAAAGTCACTGTGGCAAGTCCCTGTGAGACTGCTTTGTGCAAATGGTGCGGTAGCTTCTTGTTTTAAGAAATATCCAAAATTACAACTGGCCACTGAGTTCTTAAATATCAGTCAAAATAAGGTAGTTTTAAAATGAAAGAAAATATTGCAACATGAATGAAGAAATATATTAGCTTGCTCTTCAATCTGGCACACAACCTCTTCCTTACTTCTTCTTTCTTTTTTCCTGAACACATCGTGGACAGAACCTGTGATGAGAAAGGCACAGGCATCACCCTTTGCAGTGTTTCTGCTGGCACAGAGGACACCCAGGCCCACCTACTGTGTTTCCCAGAGTAGCTGGACTCTAGTGGGACAGTGCCAGAGAGCAACTACATAAACACAGTGGGGATGAGTCTTGGGTCTGGGGAAAGCTGGGACATGAATCAGTCTCATACACGTCTGAGTCTGACCAGTGCACGTCAGCACAGCCTTGTGATCGAGTTGATAATGTTGCTCATTACATAGGATCACTATGCCCACTGTGGAGGAGAAAACAATAGCTAGCTAAGGGACTGGACATGCTGAAGGCCAACCAAGCAGACTGACACCTATCAACCCTATGGATACCAGTTCCCAACAGCTGCACTGGACCCTGAACCCTGTATGGCTCACACAGGCCCCAGTACTCTGAGTCAAATAAGGATATGAGCCTCAGACAGTGTTAATGGGCATTCAAGAACATAGCAGCCATTCATGATGCAAAGGGACATTCTAGTAAGTTCCCTATGTGAGAGGCAGCTCTTTCACATATGACAACTCATATCAATTCCCTGCACTAAGAAGCTCCAAGCACCTAGACCTCAACTACAGTAATGTGTAGCAGTCAGAAGCTGTGAATCCCCCTGAGAAAGCCCACAGTAGTGAGCTACAAAAGACCACACAGGAATCCCATACTCCAGTTCTTCTGTCTGGCTATGGGTCTAGCATAGTAGGCAGCTGCCAGGCTTCTAAGCTCTCAGATGTCAAGGTAGCAGCCCTGCTGACTTTCCCAGTGCTGTCAGACTTCCTCACCTGGAAATTCTGCAAAGAACTCACCACATCCAACTTGAACTCCCATCTCCACCTCACATGCACGCTTTTTCCTGCTTTCCTTTCCTCAGCTGAGGAACCAACATCCATCAGCAGCAGAGCTACACACATAGGTACCTGCCACTCCAAGCATTCAGTGGTTAAGGTGCCATCCAAAGTGGTCTGTCTGACAGGGTGGGCTTTAACATACACACCACACACATCAGTGTGGTGACCAGAGAGCCCTTACAACAGAACACCCAACCCTCCTTGCCCAAGTGACTCTCTGGCTACAGGATGGCATACATAGCAAGAATGTTACCGTGACATGCTCAGGGTGCTCCTGTGAGGAGGTACCAAGACCTATTTCACTTTAAGAAATATACCCATTTCTAATACAAGTCAACAAAACCAGATTTTTATTCAAATAAAATCTTGGGACCATCCTGAACAGTTGCCTACTGCTGACTAGATGCACGATGAAAACAAGTATTTGCAAGCCTCCCGCACTCTGTTGAAGGAGCCCCTTGGCAGGGGACACAGGCCCACCAAGGTTCCACAGCTACTTCTGCTCTTCACCTTCCCAGATTTCCCTGGGACAAGAACCTATCTCCTCATCTTCATTTAAGTGATCTCTATCCCACTTGGGGCCTGGGGCGTGGGAGGGAGGGGTGAGTGCGGGCATAGTTCAGTGGTAGAGCACTTGTCTGGAATGCAGGATGCACATCAGGGCAAAGGTGGGGAACACAACCAGCTCTTCTTCAAGGGATAGAAGTATAAATACTGCATAAATTCAGTAACTGCGTCCCAGGTAAGCTGGGCGGCAGATTTCCCTCCGTAAGTTTACTACCACCACCACCCTGCTCCATCCAGAACCAATATTGCAAAAAGCGCTGAGACACAGGACTGGAACAATGGCTCAGCACTAGCTGCTCTTGCAGAGGACCCAGGTTCAGTTCCTAGCACCCACATGGCTGCTAACAACCATCTGTAACTCCAATTCCAGGGGAATCCAACACCCTTTTTTGACCTCCACAGGCACTGCATGACCCAGGTGCACTAACACACATGCAGGCAATACACACACACACATAAAATAATTTTAAAAATCTAAAAAACAACAACAAAAAAACAAACACTGAGACACATAGCCAGGCCCAGAGCACCAGACAGACAGGCTTGACCAAGGCTGCAGGCACCCCATACTGACCACTTTCCTTTGGGCTTTGTGGTGAGATCCACACAAGCAAAGTGAAACCACTCGATCGGACACTGCAAAGCAAAAGGAGAGCCTAAGTCACACCTAAGCACTCTGCATGTTAAACATGGAAAGGACAACATCCCCGCCCATACACCCATCCCAGAGTACATGCGTCCCCTAAGATTCAAACACTCACATCTGGATTGTCACAGCCGATCATCTCCCCATAGGACACCTGGTGGCACAAACAGTACGTGGGCTCATTCGGGTCCACAGGCATGTCCAGCACGTCAGAGGGATGCACAGATAGGATACTGTCAGTGAAGTCAGACCTGCAGGGAGGGACAGGCTCTGCTGACCACAGGGCAGCAGGGGGGAAGTGGAAAAAACACAGCCCACACTGCAGGCCCTTCCACCAAGAGCCCGGTGCTCCCCTGCCCTGTAACCAAAGGTACTTGCAGGTTCCAAGAAAACAATCTACATGTGGCAGAAGAGATGGCTCAGCGATTAAAAGCACAAGCTGCTCTTGCAGAGGACATGGGTTTGATTCTCAGCACCCATAATGTGACTAACAACCATCCATAACTACAGCTCCAGGGGATCCAATACCCTCTTCTGACCTCCACGAGCACTGCACAACACAGGTGCACTTGTACACATGCAGGCGATACACTCATACACATAAAATAATTTTTAAAAATGTTTTTAAATCTACAATGGCTCTGAGCTAATGACCACTCATAAACTTGTATCCCATGTACTTACTGTTACTGGAGCCTGAAGACATTCCCAATGCCTATTACTGAGGTGCTTTTATTTATTTAATTTATTTTTATTTTATGTGTTAAGTATTTTGCCTGCATGTATGTAAGTGCACCTGTGAGGGCAACTGATTCCCTAGAACTAGAGTTAAGGATGGCTGTTAGCTGCCATGTAGGTGCTGGGAACCAAAGCTGGATCCTCTGTAAGAGCAGCCAGTGCTCTTAACCGCTGAGCCACCTCTCTACTCCCACTGAGGCACACTTTTAAAGAGAGCCTCAAAACCCTTCCAGCCAATTCTCTCCTATGAATATATAGCAAGAAAAATATGTGAGGATGAGAGCAAATTGTCAACTAAAGAGATTCCCTTAAACTATCACCAGCCACAAATCTAGAGACAGCAGTGTACAGCAACAAGAAGCACACCACCACCTCTACACCAACAGAGGTCCCAGAAGCAGGCCAAGACATGGGGGTAGCACTCACTGTGCAACTAGGTCACTCCTGTCCACAGGACAAGTCTGTCACTCACTCTGGGCCCTCCCCTTGGTGCTGGCCCTCCTTGACCTCCTGCCATCTCCTGGGAGGAACAAGAACATGTCCCCCTACTAGCAGACAGAGACATCTGAGGGTAGCCTGGCTGTGTCCCACCCCTGCTCCCAAGGCTGGCCCAGGGGTTAGGGCATTTACCAGCTCTACTGTAACATGCCCTCCTCCCATGAGAATGAACTAAGTGTGTCCTCTGCATCTACCCAAGCCAGACTGGCTAACCCTCTCAGCCTTCCCTGGGTTCTAAGTATCCTCTGCATCAAGCCCACCTCACTGCCCACTGGTTGGCAGGAGCCACACTGGGTCACACTGCTCTCTGCTCACTCCTCCATGCCCATAGCTGCCTCTGGGTTTCTGACCAGCAGCCCAGTAGGAATCCTACCCCTCATCTTCCCCCTAAAACTGCTGTCCACACAGCTTAGCCACACCCCTTGCTGCAGAGCTAGAAGGGGAATTTACTCTTCACTTGTATTTATTTTTTTATTTTATTTTATGTGTATGAGTGTTATACCTGCGTGTGTATAAGTGCACCCATGTTGTGCAGTGCCTGCAGAGGACAGAGGAGAGCACTGGATCCTCTGGAACTGGAGTTACGGATGGTTGTTAGCTGCCATGTGGATGCTGGGACTCAAACTCGGGTCTTCTGCAAGAACAGCCAGTGCTCTAAATCACTCAGCCATCTCTCCAGCTAATACTTGTATTTTTTAAATAACCAAGAAAGCTATAGGACAATCTAAGCAGTATATCCCCACTACACAGTCCCTACCCATCCCTAAACTAGAAATATACAGTGATAAATATGGCCAGTTCCCATGAGGGCTGTGGCAAAGGTGTAACAAAGCAGCAGAGGGGAAGCAAGGGACAGAAGCCTGGGCCCCTCATCTTTGAATCTCTAAACATTGGCCTGGCTTTGCAACTGCTACAGGTGTGCCTGGGTGCATGTATCTACAGTTCAGCCCAATGCCATGGGGGCTCTGGAAGTTGAGCCTCTCAACAGATAACCCACACTTCTACTTCCCTGTCTTTTTGAAACTGTAATGTCACAAAAACATGACCAAGTCCAACTGATCTGACAATGTTGCTTTCAAGCATTCCTAAGAGGTCCTTCAAGTAGGAAACTTTCTTAAAAGGTCTGTGACATTCTGTGACTCAGCCTACTGGCTACATGGCCTACTTTCACTGGAGCTGTGCAGCACCCACTGAGGCAGCAAGCCCAGCAGTGTGCCTGCCTCAATTGCTCAACTCCATCAGCTGGAGACGGCTTTCCCATAGGAAACTCTACCCAATGATCACATCCACTTAGTGCCAAGTGGCCTGTAGCCTAGAATCATGAAGTTCAGTCAGTTAGGCACAGTGACACCTGCCTTTAATGCAGCACTTAGAAAGCTAAGGAAGGAGGATCCTAAGTTCAAGGCCAGCCTGAACTATACAGGAAGTTTAAGGTCAGTTTGTACATATTGGGATCTGTCTCTTGAAAAAGAAAATCAAAAGAAAATAGGAGCGGGCAGAAGGTACTGAAGAGACTACCTAGCAGGACATCCCACAGGCAACCCCTGTCCCTAGAATAGGCTGAGGTAACCCCAGCTCTCAGCAGCTGCTGGCTGACTTACTCTGGCCCTTGACCTGGCAAGCTCCCCTCCCCAAGTGTGACCAAGAAGCTCTCTGCAGACATGAACACCCATGTGCTTCCTTAGCACTGCACGTAGCCCCCAGCAGGGACCTGGCTGCTTAACCAAGATTTGGGGTAGGGACTATGGAAGAAAACTGCTCTTTTTCTTCCTTCAGGCAAGTCCTCTCATGCCAGAAAGCAAAGCCCTAGGGACAACCAAGGAGCTGGAGACCTTAGCTCCCAGGATCTCAGATGGAAAACAGACTGACAGCTCTGGAAAAGTCCCTCTCCACTGATACCCACCGCCTAGGCAAATAACGAGTAAGCCACAGGAACCTGACTGAGCACTGTCACAAGTCCCCCAGGAAAAATGACAGCTACCACCAAGCTGGGACTGAAACCTTTAGCCCATCTCATCCAGGCTGTGAAAACCCACCATATACAGCTAGGGACAAGGACTGTGCAGAACTCTAGGCTCGCAAAAGGTGAGTCCCTGTGTAGGCTTCAGGACCACCAGCAACCACCCTGACACAGCAAGTTAAGAGTTTGAGTGGCCCTGGTTGTCTCTAGATGCCCCTCTGTAGAGGCTGCTCTATGAGGCACAGGTCAATGCCTGGGCATACCACTCCAGCTGTTTCCCTTATGTGGCCTATGTCAACATCTATTGGGACAGTGGTGGCACTGTTACTCAGGGACCACAGAAAAGAGATCAACCCAAAGTGCAAGATACAACCCAACAGATGAACCTGAAACAGTGACTGTCTCCCACAGCTATTGGACAGAGGTTGTCTGTGCCTAAGTAGCAGATCTAGAATACAACCTCTACACCTAAGGCTCACAGAACATAGAACAAGGGATGAAGAGAACACTAACGCATCTTTCAATTCTCATCAATAAAGCTCCCTCATGCAACAAAGGCCCAGGAACACAAAAGGTCACAAATGGCCAAAACACAGAGAATAAGAGTCTGCAGAGTATGGGTCCCTGGACAGGACTCCTATATTAAAATCTACACACCCAGGGCTCAGGGACCATTGCTGAAGAGGGGGCAGAAAGATTCTAAGAGCCAGGGAGGAGGTGCATGACCATACAGAAATAGTCCTACAGGCTCCTGGGACTCTTATATGAAGCTATAGCAGTGGTGTCAGCATGCACAAGATCCACACAAACTTAAAGAGACAAAAACCCAGCACAGAACTGTAGAAGTGAACAGTGGGCACCAATCTTAGTCAAAGAATTATTGGCAGATGACTACTGCTGGGTGAGGAAGTGCTGATTTTCTTAAAGGGAGGGACTCTAGATAAGCTGACTAGATCCCAATGGATGAACTTGCACTGAGGGACATCTGGGGACACTAACTTGACATGATAGGCCTTAACACAAATAACAGCATGTATGAACTCCAGCAGGGGACTATGGGAGGTGCCAAAGGGGAAGAGGATATAATGATTTTCTGTATGAAATATACAAAAATTCAATTAAAAATTTAAAAAAAAAAACTTACCAAGGCAGGAAAAAAGCATATTTTTTGAGACAGATAATCAAGAAAAGGCTGGCTTATAGAAGCAAATACACAGACTGCCCAGATGTTAAAAATTAGCAGAAACAAACTTTAAATAGCTATCATAAGGTCAGCATTGCTCTGTGGGCTACAGAGTAACACCCTGTCTCAAGAAGAAAAAAAAGTTAAAGAAGTATGACTAAAGAATAAAAATATGGGTAATTTTAAAAATTGGAATCAAGCTGGGCGAGGTGGCGCACACCTTTGATCCTAGCACTTAGGAGGCAGAGTCAGGCAGATCTCTGCGAGTTTGAGGCCAGCCTGGTCTACATGGCAAGTTTCATGCCTGCTAGGGCTACAGGGAAGGGACACGTTGTCCCAAAAAGACAAAAAAAGGAATCAAATTAAATGAATACTCTATAAATGAAAACTACCATCTGTGACATCGACACCCACAAGCTGCTTGACTATAAATAGCCTGAGCCTCTCCCAAGTTGAGCAGACACCTGCAGCCACCTCTGCAAAGGCAGCATGGTGCTAGTGGATGCCCTGCCAAACCTACACAGATCCAGCATCACTGCATGTGAGATCACACATCCACAAGCTCACAATGGAACTCCACTGAGTAGCACTGTCTAGGCCCCAGCTTCTTAAACTGTGGGTCAAACCCTATGAGGCAGTGTAACTACATGAATATAGGGGGTCACAAAAAATGTGGCAGCAGTAAAAGGTTTCAGAATGGAAAATGACCCAAAAATTAATACACCAACCAAACATGCTATGAATCCAAGGCTTTTCTGCTTGCCATGTTGTACTATATGACTGAATACACAACAAGCACACTTTGCACCATATATATGGTCACACCCACAACACCAATGCACACTGCCTTAAGCACCTAGGCTGAGATTTAAGATAATTGTATATTATAAATTGTGATATTTTTACTGTAAATACAAAGTTTCCTGCTTTTACAGAAAATAACGGTTTAAAGCAAAGACTTTCAATAATTTCCTACTGTCATTCCTCAGCATGTGTCAAATTAGTGTATCTTTGAATTGTTTTTTTGTTTTGTTTTGGTTTTGTTTTTTTTTAAGATAGGGTCTCACTACATAGCCCTGGGTGGCTTGAAGCTCACAGAGATCTGCCTGCCTCTTCCCCTTGAGTGCTAGGATTAAAGGTGCATACTACCACACTCTACTCTGGATTGTTTTGGGTTTTTTTTTAATATTTATTTTATGTGTGTGAGTGTATTGCCTGCATGTATGTAAGCGCACCTGTGTCATGCAATGCCCACAAAGGTAGAAGGTGTTGGATTCCCCTGGAACTGGAATTATGGATGGTTGTTTGCTGCCATGTGGGTGCTGGAAATCGAACCCAGGTCCTCTTGCAAGAGCAGTCAGTGCTCTTAACCACTGAGCCATCTATCCAGCCCCTGGATTGTTTTTAAAACTGTTTGAGTTACTGAATTTAGTTTTATAAGGTCATTAAATGAATTTTGGCTTTGTGTTGAGACAATTTCCAATAATTTCTGAAATGGCCCTAAATATACTCTACACTAAATACTCAGGAAAAGTGGCAAGGGAATATAGCAAGGTCAGTAAAGGGAGGTACTGGGTTTGATCCCCAGCACCACATAAACCATTGTGGTGGCCAACGTAATAATGCCAGCACTAGGAAAAGGGAGACAAGATCATAAATTCAAGGTCACCCTGGCTACAAAAGACTGTTTAAAAAAATTAATTAAGGGCTGGAGAGATGGCTCAGCAGTTAAGAGCACTGGCTGCTCTTGCAGAGGACCTGGGTTTGGTTCCTAGCACCCACATGACATCTAACAGCTGCAACTCCAGTTCCAGTGGATCCGATGCCATTTTCTGACTTCTGTGGGCATTGCACAACATAAGTGCCCTTAGATACATGCAGGCAATACAATAATAAGCATAATAAAATATTTTTAATTAATATTTTAATATTTTAATTAATATTTTAAAAAGGATCATTCTTAGTACCAACAATTACAAAATCCAAATATCAATCAACTCTTAAAAACACTAATACAATATGTTCTACAGTACCAAATACTGAGCCAAAATAACTCTTTTATGTAAAAAATAAACAAGTGCATCCATCTCATTAGTATACATATTTGCTTTCATCTTTAATAAATGCTAAAATTATATTTAAACCAAAGAACTGCTTCAAAATAAATTTCTGTATGATTTATTATCAGCGAGTGTTTGGTTGCATAAAAGAGATCATGAGCAGAAAAAAGTCCTGGTCTAAATGTCATGAGCAAGTAGGTGTGCCAGAGTCCAGGGTGAAGTCATGCTCCCAGAGATGATTGAGCCAATAAGCAAAACACTTTAGCCATTCAACTAGGATCCTCACAAAGTAAAGTATCACCATGCCTGGTGCCCTGGTGAACACTCAGGAGGCAGAGGCAGGCAGATCTATATGAGTTCAAGGCCAGCGTGATCTGCAGGGTGAGTTCTAGGTCAGACAGGGCTACGCAGTGAAACCCTATCTTTTAGAGAAAAAGAAAAAAAAAGTGAAATGGCAAAAGTGAAAAAGAGAAGTGGAGACTAGCTGGGGACAAAGTTCAGTTGGTAGAATGCTTTCCTAAAAGGCATGAAGCCTTGGCTCCAATCCAGAGCACTGTAAAAACCAGGCATGATGATACATGCCTGTAATCCCTGCACTTGAGAGGTAGAGGCAGGAGGATCAGAAGTTGAAAGTCATCCTCAGTGGCTGGAGAGATGGCTATGGCTCAGCAGTTAAAAGCTCTTGCAGAGGACTCAGGTTTGGTCCCTAGCATCCACACAGTAGCTAACAACCATCCATAACTCCCGTTCCAGGAGATCCAACGCCCTCTTCTGGCCTCCATGGGCTCTGCATACATGTGGTGCACTTACATGCAGGCAAAACATTCATAGACATAAAATAAAAATAAATTAAAAAAAAAAATCCTTAAGTCATCCTCAACTGCACAGTGAGTCAGAAGGCCAACCTAGGCTAGAGACTGTTTCAAAACCAAAAAACAGACCCCAGCATGGTGGCACACACCTTTAATTCCAGCACTCAGGAGGCAGAGGCAAATGGATCTCTGTGAGTTCAAGTGCAGCATAGTCTACATAGTGAATTCCAGAGAGACTATGTTTCAGAAAACCTAAAAAAGGAGCTGGAGAGATGGCTCAGCAGTTAAGACCACTGGCTGCTCTTGCAGAAGACCTGGGTTCGATTCTCCACATACATATGGCAGCTAAGAATCATCTGTAACTCCAATTCCAGGGGATCTGACACCCTCTTCTGTTCTCCAGGGACACAGCACAACACAGGTGCACTTACATACATGCAAGTAATATACTCATATACATAAAATAAATATAATAAAATATTTTTAAAAAAATGGTTCAGCAGTTAAGCGCACTGACTGCTCTTGCAGAGGACCAGGTTCGATTCCCGCATCCACATGGCGGCTACAAACCATCCTTAACTCCAGTTCCAGGGGAATCTGACACCCTCTTCTGACCTCCAAGGCATTGCATGACACAGGTACACTCACATACATGCAGGCAATACACTCATACACATAAAATAAAAATAATAAATAGTAACTTTTAAAAATGGGCGCCGAGATGGTTCAGGAGTTAAGAACACTGGCTTGCAGTTCTCTTGCAGAGAACCCAGGTTCAGTTCCTAGCACCCACATAGTAGCTAACAGCCATCCAGAACTCCAGTTACAAGGGACTCAATGCCCTCCTCTGGCCTCTACAGGCATTACAAGACCCAGGTGCACTTACATACATGCAGGTAAAACATTCATCCACATAAAATAAAAATTAAATTAAATATGAAAACTCTTTACAAAAGATTAAAATGAGCCTGCAAAAGTGGTGGACATAGTCATCTTGGACAGGGCAGGAGCTCATGAGGCCTATAGGCAGCTGAGGAGCTACAAGCAGTTAATGGCCACTGGGGAAGGAATCATTTTTCTTCAACAGTGTAGCAACCAGTAAGTTGCTCATGCTCCAGTAAATAACCCCACAACCTTGTCTGTGCAGGCTACCCTAATTAAACTCAGTGGTTCCTAAGAAGGGGGGCGTAAGTGTAGGAGGGAGCTAGAGAGATGGCTCAGCAGTTAAAGTACTGGCTGCTCTTGCAGAGGATCCAGGTTTGGTTCCCAGCATCCACATGGCAGCTAACAACAGTCTATAACTCCAGTTCCAAGGGATCCAACACTCTCTTCTGGCCTCTACATGTACTTACATACAAGCAGGCAAAACACTCATACATATAAAATAAAAAAGAAAAATTGTTTTAAAAAGGGGACTTGTTGAGAAGGAGTCCAGAGGGAGTAGAAGGGAAGTAAGAGAGGACAATGGGGGGAGATGGTAACTATGACAAAATACATTACGTATACATGTGAAATTGTCAAAGAATATATAAATATGTTTTTTTTTTTTTTTCCTTTTTGAGACAGGGTCTCCCTATAGCCCCTATAAAAAAGAAAAATTGTTTTAAAAAGGGGACTTGTTGAGAAGGAGTCCAGAGGGAGTAGAAGGGAAGTAAGAGAGGACAATGGGGGGAGATGGTAACTATGACAAAATACATTACGTATACATGTGAAATTGTCAAAGAATATATAAATATGTTTTTTTTTTTTTTTCCTTTTTGAGACAGGGTCTCCCTATAGCCCCTGCTGGCCTGGAGCTCACTATGTAGATCAGACTGGCCTCAAACTCACAAAGATCTGCCTGCCTCTGCATCCCAAGTGCTGGGATCAAAGGCATGAGCCACCATGCCCTGCTTGTTTCCTACATTTTCAATGCTACTAAGAGTTGTTTGAACATGTGTCTTTAATCTCTGTGTATATGATTATTACTAGTCACAGTCAGTTACACTCAGATCCTTACTACCTGAGTATGGGTATAAAGTCA